GTGTGTGTGTGTGTGTGTGTGTGTGTGTGTGTGTGTGTGTGTGTGTGTGTACTTTATGCTTTTCATCTGCAGCAGTGTTTGTTTGTGCTTTTGTTGTTGCTGTCACATTGGCGCGCAAATTGAAATTATTGCGCTGGCATGCGCTGTGATTAATATTTCTTTTTATTTGCAGCATTTTTTATTTCCTTTATTTTTTTTTATTAATTTCTTTATTGAGAGCCAGGCAAATGTCTGCAATTTTAATGCCAATATTTTAACAATTTAAATCATTAGAATTGTGATAACAAATTATTAAATAGATTGTATTAAATATTGTGCATGCCAGATTAATTATTAATATTTATGTTTTTTCCCATCGATTGACAGACAAATACCATTTGTATTTTTTCCAAATTTTATTATTTGCTCAGTTACAAAGAAAAATATATAAATGATCATTAATTGCGATTTCAATAATTTTAAATATTTCGATATTTGTTTAAACTCTTCAACATAACACTTTAAACTTTCTATTTTTTCATCGAGCAAAGGAACAACTTTCCAATAAATTAGGCACAGGCTCTGCTACACACTTTGATAAGCATAAATCACACATATAATGTAATTATGCTAGTCTGAAAAAATATATGACCCGGCCAAGTTGTAGGCTTCATCATTGCCACAGACCAGCCATGGATCCTCCAGTCCGCTCCCCACGGAAGGCAGACAGAGCTGCAAAACTAAAACTCAACGGAAAATCCAGGCACGTGTTTGGCTTGCCGAAATCTACATAAGCTGGCTGGCAGCCAATTTGGTTGAGGACTAACTAGCCAGTAAGTCAGACAGTTTGGCCAGCGTCCTGCCAAGAAATGTGTGGCTAAACGTTTGGCTCGCTCGCATTAAAAAGGGAGCAAGTCGAATGAAAAAAAAGAAAAGAAAAATACGAAAAATAGCCGGTTAAAAAATCTGTTTTGCCAGCATTTGCATGGCATGCGTTGTCCTATTCCCAGCTTTTTTTGCTGGCCATTTTGCATAACTTGCCAGCACTCAGACATACACACGCATTTAGATATTGGGCACAGGATAAATATATATATTCTACATACATACATATACACATGGGTACATATGTATATTTCAAGTTTTTGGTTCGTTGAGTTTCTGTGATTTTGACAGCCAGCCACAAGTGCGAGCTACCAACTAAAATGGCCAAAAAAAAAAAATATGGAAGATATATGCATAAATTCTGACATTTTCCTGGCATAGGTATACTCGAAAAAAATGGAAGAAAGGTTGGTTAAGAATGCCACTTGAATACCGAAAAATATTTAAACATTTTTCAATGCACTGAAAGCTTCACTTTAGGCACTCTAACACTCCAAAGATGCGTGGAAATTCCTCTAACAAGTTGCTATTTTTTTTGCTTTTTCGTTTTCCTTATTGTTACAGTTGTTGTTTGTCTTCTTCATTGCTTTGTTTATTACATTTGCATATTATTTATTATTTATTTACATTCGCATACATATTTTTATGACTTCCTTTTGCGGCCACGAAAAACGCGAACACTTCAGCTTGCTGATTTTTGGCTCGCTCACTGTGCGTGTGTGTGTGTGTGTGCGTGCCACGCCTAGCGGCTGCCCAGCCGCCCAGGCCGTCCGTAGCCTTGCAGTGCTTATTTCATTAGCTATTCCCTTGAATTTTATATTTCAAGAAAGGACAACACAGGACTCACTGAAAAATATGTTAGAGCTGGGCAAAAAAATTGAGGAAAGAACGAAGCTGGCACAGCGGAGGCAACGCTTTAACTACCGGAAATTTCTTTGTACTGCTTTTCATGCTCATTTGTAGGCAACTGCCCCCAACCCCAGCCCTGCCTCCTACCCATGCAGCGGCCTCCTTGCCCAACCTGGCTACAGTCAGGCACCCGAAACACGCGCGCCCACACTCACGCCCGCTCAATTTTTCGCTGTTGACAATTTTGGCGGTTGTTGTGGCAACACGTGACTGGGATGCGTAACACCAGCAGCAGCAACAGCACCACCAACAACAACAACAACATCAACAACTGCTTGAACTGTAAAAAAGTTGCTCCAAGTCGAGCTGCGACTTCGACTCCGACTGCCACTGGGTTACTTTTCCTTTTCCTTCTTCTTTTTTTCTGGGAGTCTCAAATTATTTGGTCTCGTCCTCGCCTCGCTTTCAGTTTCATCCTCGCCGCCTCCTGGAGCCGGTCTGTACTCTAAACTGACTGCCATGGACCGTTGATCACATTGAAATCAGTTTCGAAATAATTCGCCGCTGAAATTCAATTTGTTATTTGTACATGGAGCCATTAACGCTTCGATGGCTTTGTTTGTGATTCAGCGTCGTTTCCTCTTTGTTATGCCACCAAAAGAAGACATTTTTATTTGGTCGTAAGCAAATTATATCATTAGAGCTTATTATGCCTATCGATACAGCCAATGCCGACGCGACGCCTCAGAGTGCGCGAGAATATGAAAATATGAATAAAATATGTAATTGTCACGAGCAGCACTTGGCTTTGTGAGTGCATAGAAATTATATTCAGCTGTATTGTTGCCATTCCAAATGCCTTTC